AAACTTCCCTGCTTTCTATAGGATCAGAGAAGATAAACTCATAGCAGAATTTAATAAGCTCCGAAAGGTTTCCCTCAGAAAACATGAAGATGTGAGAGGGAGAGAAAGAATTCCCTTTCCTTGATATTTATGCCACCCCTTATGTTATAGACTTGTAACATGTTAATATACACAAGTTTTTCTATACCCTAGTTATGCAGGTTCTAGTAATTTTTATCCTGTATAGCTTTTTCAATGACCTAAGATAGTTTCTCCCAATATTTTTGCAATACAAAGCTAAAAAGAGGTGAAGAGTCCATTATTAACTTTCACTGTACTGGATCCCTTATGGATTAAACACTGTTGTGGGATGTCTGTGCAAACTCAGTGACATGTTTCCTCTTCTAGTTAAGTGTTGCTTTCCTGGGAAGCTGTAATAATAGCCAAGTGATTTTTAACTTTTCTTTAGTATGTAAGGCTAAACAGGCCAAATCTGCTTTATTGGGATGATGTTATTGGCAGCCAAAAGGGGATACCACTGTCAGTCAGTCCCCACTACCTCAATTAATATCTGTAATATAAATTCTGGCATTCTGTTGAACCTTTCCTTTGCTCCTTTTTAATTTTTTCCTAGCAGACAACAGGCAGCTTTATTCCCAGTAATTGCTGTAACTCTTTAAATAAGTGATACAATCACTACATGTCTTTAGAATTTGCTTCTCTCAGAATGTCTTATGGACTGAAAGCCATAGTCAAGTCTGAGCAACTAGTAAGGCTCTGGGACAGATAAGCAAGTGCTTCTAAGTACCAGATAATGAATCCAGACACTGCAAACATGTTTTTTTATTTGACTAATGTCTGATGTGGAAATTGCCTTCCACTGTCCATCACAAATTTGGGGACTGTTATTTGATTACAGGCAGTGGATGATCATGATCAGCTTTGTGAAAATGACCCACTCTTTTCCAGTGGGCACATAGAGCCCAGCATCTGTAGCAGTCCCCTGCTTTATCCTGCCTCCAGGAAAAGTTTTTATAGGGGTTTTCATAGGATGTCTTTGAGTCCAGAGGTGTCTCAAAAGAGCACACATGCATTAACTGCTTGAAGCCACGTATGGTCTAGCAGTCTCCTTGAAACCCACTGAGGGTATTGTTTTCTTCCCTGACTCATTTCTGCAGAATTCCCTTTCCTTTGAGGAATTTTTCTGGGAAACACAGGATAACGCCCTGGGGCAAAACTTTTGAGCTGACAAGTGATATTTTGGTTTCTTTTTTTTTGAGACAAACTGAGTGACATTTGTTACTTTAGAAGGTTGTGCTGTTCATCAAGACAAACCCTTCAAACTTTGCCTGCTCTTCTTCCTTGCTTCCAACACAAATAGAAGAGTGATAAATGTCTACAAAAGATGTATGTGGGGAACTGAAATTACACTAAGATTAATTCTGAAACCTTATTCTCTTCTTCCTTCTGTATCCTGTTAATTTGATGCAGACTTCTGTGACGCTTGCTTTTTAGAGAAGCAGTCTCATGCTGCATTAACTAGAGAAGAAACTCTCATGAACATCTGAGTTTTTGTTACTGAACTCTTTCCCAATATTCATTAAGAGTACTGAACAGGATTCATCTTTCTTCTTTAAAGACAAATGAGCAAAAAACAAGCAAAAAATCTCTCTCCCTCAACAAACAGATTTAGGAGATATACTTGTTACTCCTACAAGCCAAGTAAATATTGCTTCACTTTTGGGGAAAAAAATCTGTTTTTTTCTTAGATCATAATCTCATTGGTATGTTTTCTGGGGTAATAAACAAACCTTCAATACAATGAGGGGACTAGCTAACACCCCTGTTGCCACTGCACTGGTGATTTGCTATATTAACTCACCTTTGATTCAAATGTCTAAACAGAATACACACACACTGCTTTTACTGGCTCTTGTTTTAGAATAAACTGAATGGCAACCAAACACCTTGAAAGCCAACCACATCACTTGGGAGTGATTATCCCTGAGGATCCACCACCCAAGGATACCATAATAGGATGCATAATTTTATATGCATCATGTATATTGCAGTGTATCACTGCAATAATTATTTTTCTGTTTTCCTGGGACTGCTTTTTACATTATGGTTGCTGGAACAAGAGTTAAAGAGCACTACAGACATAGGTGATCTATGCATTGACTTTACCCAAGACATCAGGGTGGCAGGTGGTTTAAAGCACCTCATTGTGCATCACAGCTTCCCTTGAGACACTGCACAACTCATGTCCCATCTCCCTCTCACAGTCCCCTTATCTGTGATATAAGAGTGATAATTCCTTATCTACCTCTGGGCAGTACCATAAGACTGAATACCCAGAAGTGTCTGCCATTCAGCTGATGGGGGATACCACAGAATGCAAGGTGTTAAAAGAGAGGGAGCTCCTAACCCAACAACACACATTGCAGAGCCTTCAGAGATGCTCTTCATCCCCACCACACTTACCATCAGTGACCAACACACAGCCACACTCAGTCTTGGCTATTTCTCTTGGAAATGTGCTCCATAAACCTGTGGGATCTGGCTTCTGCTTTTCAGGTGGCTCTACCACTTTCTTTTTTTTCCCCTTCAGCATTATTGGTTCTAATTGTTGTTTCAGTGTGTCCAAAAGTGTCTGGGACCCTTGAGAGGGCTTACTCTGTGGACACAGATGTTTGTAATAACTGCACATATTTTCATATTTTTCAAGCAACAAAAGAGAACCATGTGTTTGTTGTTGAGGATACTGTAGCTAAGGACATGAGGCTGGGACTGTAGTGAAAAGCTCACATGTTTTGTTTACAGCAAAATCTGTTTGTCCTGTCCAAATGCCAGGACTTATCTCTTCTGACTGGCACAAAGTAATATTGCAGGCTGCCCATCCTGTTTTGCTTGCAGCATCTCCACTGGCCAGCAATCATTAAAAACTATGGGGCTGGTTGAAGGTTTTTCATTCTATATCCATTTTTGCACTGAAAGAGACCACCATACCCTCCTCATATGTCAACATGGAATCCATACATTACCATTGCTGCTTCTTTTTCTTCCAAAAAGTGTATCAGTCTGTTCACATGGACTAGGCAACAACACAAAAATGAGTGGACAGAAGGAGTCATGCCCATATCCTCAATTTGGAGAATTTTCTTTGCCCCTCTTTAGTTAAGATTTAAACTACTGAGGAAATGAAAGCCTGAGCAAGAAAGAGCTACTATGTTTTGCTTGTGTGACTGTCTTGACTGCCTCAGATGGATACAGATAGATGACAGAAAGATAAAGAAAGATAGAGTTAGATAAATCAACAGGTCTACCAAAATACAAAAGAATTTACTATATTTGTTTATTTTTGCTGATCAAGCAGAACAATGATCCCAAAGCATCCTTTTATTTACTGCACACTAATGCTTTCTTTAGTTCCTGAGAAATAGAAATTATTTTCTCTAGAAAATAATAAAATTAATAATGGGAAAGACAAGGCAAAGAAAATGATAGGATAGCTTTTTGTACAGTATTGGTTATCTTTAGGCATGCAGTTGTTCAGCAATAAATGCTACTCATTGAAGTGATAAGCTCAGCATACCATGTTACTTATGTATTCATTCCATGATCAGTTGGTTTTTTTCTGAATCTCAGACATTTTCCACCATCCTACAAACTTGAGTGAGATGTAATCATTGATGAAAGTGTCACACAGTGGTTAAATAGTGTCATTCCCTGAGTATTTGTTTACTTTTCATACTACAATCCCTTGAACAGCACGGAACTGCCTCTGGCCTGATGAGAACTCCCAGCAGAGTCAGATTTTTTTTCTTTGATTCCTGGACACAGAGGATTTGGACTCGAGGGTCAGGATTATAAAGTAGCCTTTGCTATGGCTCACAGGAGTCATAGCAAAGAGAGAGTCGAGGCAGTCCCGTGACTGAGATTTCCAAAAGTAAACAGCACTGATTAACTCCATGGGTTTGACTCCCTGAATCCTACTGAAAGTCCCAACTCATGGCTTGCAGCAGTGACTTTGAAGCAGACCTATCTACCTCTGTGCAGGAACACTATCTAGCAGATAGAACATGCTTTTACAACAGATTTGTAAAAAAAAAAAAAAAAAAGCAGCAAAATAAAAATCTTCCCAGATGGAATTAAAAGACACTATCAAAATCACTGCTTCTTAAAGCCAAAATCAGGGAACTGAACTGTATTTCTGATAAACCCTGTCATGGTCACAATTAGGGGAGATATCAATGCTTCGTGGGCACTGGAGTTCATCTGGAATGAGGAAGCAAGAAATTTGGACTGCAGTTCCCATGACCTATCACAGCTGTGTAGAAGCTGGAAAATGTTGAAATTATTTTGAATTATTTTAGACTTTTTACAAATTTTCCCATGATATCCCTCCAGAGAATGAGCCTGAATTTTTGCATGGTGATTGTCTTGCACAAATATGAGTTCTAGCTGCAATTACAAATGCATTTCACAGAAGGTATTTTAATGTTGGCTTTGTGCACCTAATACGCCTTGCTTTTCACATTGATATTTAGCACAGCTGAAGGTAAATGCAGCCTCACAATGTCCTCTGCCCAGTTTTGGATCAGAACCTTGCAAAACCAGAATTGCACACAATTTTACCCTGGGTGGGTTTTGATCTGGTTTTCTTGTATCACCACTCTACTGCATTAGTGATGTTCAAGATACTGCACTGAACGAAATAATGAAATTAAGATGTTCTTAAATCCATGGGACAACCTCACAATGAATAAACATGGTCATAATTCAATAGAGTTGCACAGACGTTCATACCACAGTGTAGCAAAGGGCTCCATTTTATGATCTAATAAACTGTGTAAGAGGGAGCTGCAGAATATACACAAAATCCCTGGCATTTGCTTCCCTGTCTCCCTCCTTACCCTTTTGACTAATTTCTTGCAGCATAACTAAACATATTTTTTCTTTTCCTTTTCTTTGCAGATATACCCGGACCTTCCACAGCCAGACAGAACAGATAAAACGCTTTTAGGCTGGCTCCAGAAGACTCAGACTGTGTTTGACTACCACCCTTTTGGATAAATATTTTGGGATTCAAGATGAATAAGACAAGGGCTGTTAATGATGTTTTTCATTTCCTGATCAACAAGAACTGGAGCTCAAGCCGAAGCTTTCCTATGAACATTTCTAATCAGTGCATGAACATCACTGACCTTACTGTCTTTCTGGCCACCTCTTACAGCTTGGAAACTGTTCTGGGCATTGTGGGAAACATCTGTCTGATTGCTGTCATTGCCAGGCAGAAGGAAAAGGCAAATGTCACCAATATCCTAATTTCCAACTTAATAATTTCAGACTTGTTTATGTGTCTTGTCTGCCTGCCTTTCACCGTTGTTTACACCATGATGGACTACTGGATATTTGGGGAAGTCATGTGCAAAATGACCTCTTTCACTCAGTGCACAACTGTGACAGTGTCAATCCTTTCCCTTGTCCTTATTGCTCTGGAAAGACACCAGCTCATCATAAACCCGACTGGCTGGAGGCCAAATACCTCCCAAGCCTACCTAGGAATCGGAGTGATTTGGACTTTAGCATGTCTCATGTCCCTACCCTTTTTGACCACATCCGTCTTGTCTAATGAGTTGTATGAGCAGCTCTCACACTTCATGAATTTTTCCACTGATAAGGCAATATGTATCAACTCGTGGCCTTCTGAGCAGCACAAACTTATCTACACTACCACTTTACTGCTCCTGCAATATTGCATGCCTCTGTTCTTCATTATCCTTTGCTACCTGCGTATCTACTTACGCCTGCAGAAGAGAAAGGACATGTTTGAGAAGAGCGAGTACAGCAACCGAGCAGTCCAGCTGAGAAGGATAAACATCTTGCTAGCATCCATGGTTGCTGCTTTTGCTGTTTGCTGGCTACCACTGCATGTTTTCAACACCATCGTGGACTGGAATTACAAAATCATTTCACCTTGCCACCACAACCTGATCTTCTCATTGTGCCACCTGGTAGCTATGGCTTCTACCTGTGTCAACCCTGTTATCTATGGTTTCCTAAACAGCAATTTCAAAAAAGAAGTGAAGTCACTGATTCTGAGCTGCCAGCATAATTCAGTAACAGCCTCAATGGAAGAATATGATCATTTGCCTTTATCCACCATGCAGACTGAAATTTCCAAGGGGTCACTGATGTTGAACTGCAGGCACAATTCTATCTAACGAGCAGAAAACATTTCAGAAGGGTGCACTGACACCACACACCAATTATTACCTGTGGGTAATAATAAAGCAACTGGCGATGCCACAGCTGGGATGTGAACAGGAAGCCATCGCTACCTGATTTTTTTGAAGAACAAGTAGAGTAATGTTGTAAATGTTCACAGTTGCTGCTGTGGTGCACAAGCTTTTTGTGTCACTGAGGTGGTACGGACACTGAGGAGACCGGGCTGATGTAAAGCAGCTGCTCTAAGTTCAGTGCCTAAGTCTGGGTGCACAGAGGCTGACATGGGTTCATCAGCAAAATTTGTATCTCCACCATGGCTGCAGTAGAAAACCAGATTTCCAGTTTCATCACTGCAGGCTGCCAAAAGTTGTGTTGGAGAAGACTCTCAGTTTTCCAGTATTAGTAAGATTTTTATGCACAGCTGACACACCAGTGGAACAGAGTGTGAATATAAATTTTTGTAAATATTTGTGAATATCAATTATGTAAATAGCAAATTTTTTTACCAACTCTCACAGCCCATTAAGTAACAGTAATCTTTCAGATCTTCACATAAAACAACTGCCTGTTTCTATGAAACTTCACTCTCTGCCATAAGCTTGAGAAAAGTCATTGCCTCTGCAAGTAGGGACAAGGAACAATGACCCTGGTATGTAAAGAGGGACAAGGAACAATGACCCTGGTATGTAAAGAGGACAGTCACTTATGAAGGATGGCAGCAAATGAAAATGTTATTTGATGGATTAAACTCATAATACAGTGAGATGATACTGAGAACTGTTTTTAAGCACATGAAAAACAGTTGTAGATCTACATGGAAATGAGTCAGTTCTGGCTGCTGTCAGTCACAAAGCTCTGCAATGCTACAGCTTCACGCCATGATGGTACAAGATGGCCAGATTACAGGAGTTGTTCCAGGACCTGGTAGCAACATGATGTTCTGCTTCAGCACCTTCTTGGTACTTTAATTGCAAAGTATCTAATTCAGAAGGTCAGAATGAGCATGAAAACCTGTTTGTGGAAATAATGTGTTTCCAGAGGGGCTATATTTGCAAAGAAATAAGCATATGCATGGAGACTTTGAGTTTTCTTAAACAATAAAACCTGACATCAGATATCAGTCCCACTCACTGGCATCAGCAACACAGGTGAAGCTGAATTTCAACAAATCAATAGAAGGTCAATGAAAATACACAGGTGGAATCCAGGTCTGGGTGAAGCCAAGCCACATAGGTAGTACTGTCAATTGCTCTAGTAAAATGACCTGGATTCCTCTCTTAGTGAGAGACTTTGTGTGTGATTACCTTTTGTATCTTCCTCAACATTTGGAAAGACATTTTTGTGGTTTTTTTTTCAAATGGATTTCAGCTTTCTTTTATTTTCTTTGTTACTTGCTACACTGAGAAGTTGTTTCTCTTGATTAGTTTGCATGCAATGTGATTTCTAGACTGGAGACACAGTCTGCTAAAAACACAGAACAAGAGGACTCTTATATTAGCTGCATCTTGAAATTTGCTACTGTAGCCAAAACCACCACAGGATGTTGAGTAGCACAAAACACAGTAGCTCCTCCTAATCAGTGTGAGTTATAACAAAACTGTGCTGTATTACTTCAAGGCTTAAATACTGTTTCAACTTTGTCGTTGTTTGGCATTTAGAATCAATTTAAGTAATTGAGTAATTCTGCCTGCTTTTTGCACTTGTTAGAATTCCAGTATTTAGCTAGCTAAGGTGTCTGAAAGCTATTGTAAGAATACTCTCCTAAACACAAACACAGAAAATTAGCTGATACATGGCCTTAAGTATATAACTATTCAAGCACCAGTGTCTTAAATGGAAACAAAATTACCTTTAACATTTGCACTTCTATGAACCTGTCTTTGTCACTAGTTCTAGTGAAAACTTTTGGTAAAGTGCTTACAGTATAGCAGAGACCTGCCACTGGAGCTCTGCACTGGCATTGTGCACCAGATCTGAGTTCTTCCTGCTGAGGGTAGAAATATGAGCGAGATCTGACACTGTTTAGCTGTAATTCACGTGGCCACTTGTTTCCATGAACGCAAGTAGATACATAAAGCAAGCAGATCCAACTTTACAATAACACAGACAAACACAAACGGATGTTATCTTCCTCTCATGATTAAGCAAAGTGTCAAGTTTGGAGTCAACTACTGTTTATTGCTAACTGACTTTGGACTGGATAAACTACAGGATTTAAACACTAAAAGCCACCAAACTGCACCCATACATCTAACTGCAAAAATGTAGATCCTCAGAACTCCCAACCAGCTGCAGTCTATCCGTCTACTTACTATCTTGAGATGCATGTTTTTCAACGTCTACAACTTCCTAAGTAACTGAATAAACTTTAAAGAAAACACTGAAAAATAAATATATCTAGGTACCAAAGGAATGAACATGTAACAGGAAAGGTGCCTGTACCAATCCTTCATTCTGTGCATACACCAAGGCTTATGCTGCTGCGCACAAATGCAGTAGAGGATAATACCCTGTTAGTTTTTTAAGAACTTCTGTAGTAACTGTTCCCTGCTGCCTCTGAAGGCAAAGTCACAAGGCTGGGTGAAACTATGCCTGCATAGTTGAAAGAGCCGCTTTATTTGTCACTTTGAGGCTTTATGCAGCCAAGGGAAACTAGGATTTTTTGGTCCCAGCAGAAGGTAACAGAACAGAAATAGCTTACATACCTCTTATACATCTGTAAATAACAGATACTGTTAATGTGTAAGAAACATTGAGCATTTCTGTGTTCATTGTATACAGTGATGGTTTTGGATATACTCTTTACAAGTTCTGCTACTGAGTCACAAAAGCAATGATGGAGAAATAGGCAGGAGTTGTGCAAATCACGAGTTCCTAAAATTTTAAGACCTTACACTGCCTTTTTTAAAAAACTTTTTCATAATCTTGCCTCTTGTGATACTTTACAAGAAGACAGTAAGGTTTTCAGAGCAAGAGAACAACTTATTCTGTAATATAAATAGCACACTACAGGGAATCTTATAATAACAAATAAAGTAATATTGTCTGTGTCACTTCTCTGTGCCTGCTTCTGTAAAATTATGTAATACTCTTAATAGTATAAAATACATAAGGTTTAGTCTTCAACTAGTGTTTATCAAGAGAAAAAAAAGTGTATGGTGTAATAAGAGCCACTGATGTGTGAAGGATTAACCATCTGACACATTATTCCAAAGGACAAGGGTGCAGCGCAGTTGACAATGGAGGACAGGCAAGTACCAAAAATTCAACATGGAACATTGGAATATTCTGATGCCAGAACTCAAATCATCTTCACAGACTTTTCAGATTGCACAAGAATCTGGGTCCTGTATGGCACAGTGTCCTGAACCCCAAACCAGAACCACAGCCAGAAAGGAACTGACACTGATGGGATGAAAACCAATGTGAGATATTTAACAGAATTTTACTGAACTTCATAAAATGCTCTGACTGGGTTAAAAGTATTGGTAAATTTCTCTGACTGGGTTACTTGGCTTGACAGAAAGTAAACCAAGGTACCAGAAATGACTGCAGATTGTGCTATAAGCAGGTTTGGTTTATTACACTTGCACACACAAGGGAAGAGTGCAACAGCCAGTCTGCCTGCCTGGATGGTGGCGTGTGGCATGAGCTGCCACAGGGGTTGGCAGCAATGCTGTGACAGCCATCAGTCACATCTGCAGCATGGGTCTGCTGTGCGCAAACACAGAGTGCACACACATCTGAGGACTGACACTCAGTGAGAGATTACTGTGAAATAAGATGTCATACCCTGAGGACCCCTTCAGAGATCCTTTTGCTTTAACCCACTGTCTTCTCACAAGATCACCTGGCATTTCATTTTGCAGACCATTCTCTTTAAGTTTCTTATCGATCAAACACTGTCCTGATTTTCATACCAGTATTGATTTCAATGTAAATTGTTGATGCTTAGTACAATGTGTAATCTGGACTTATATTGTATGAGCATCAAAATCCACAGAGCTTTTATGATCTTCCCTCCCTTTCTCAATTTGCTCTATAAAGTCACTTATTTAAACTCAGGAAGTCGTAAGTAGAATAAGCCTGAGATTTATACATCTGTACTATGCCTTTCCTGCCAGACAATGCTCATTAGGCCTTAGTCAGAATTGTTTTGTTGTCCTTCCAATAAATGCCTATATAAAGCCCAGTAGCAGCACAGAGATTTTATGATGGAAACCTGTGTTGAAATTTAATTTCAGAGATGTCTGCCTTTTGTTTTTTCTTTAAAGAACTTTAGTTAATGACACCCACCACTCCTTTGTAAAACAATACTCAGTTAAATAGTGCTATAGTATTCATCACATATAATAGGAAGTATTTTGTTCCATAGAAATTGCAACACAGATTACCAGATATAATACTAAAAAAAGTAGCCATGATACACATAAAATGATGGCATAATAATAATATGAATAAGAACTTTTAGAGGAATATCACAAGATGCAAACTGACAGCAGAAAGATGGATTTTCAATCAAAAGGTATGTTAACAGAGAACATGGAATTTGCACTGTAACTCTTTAAATCAGGACTAGGTTTTGTTCTTAAATTCACAGATAGAAAATTCTGTCCTTTGAATACAGTAACACAGTATACTGTGTTCCTTATCCAGTCTATGGGAATATGAATCCTCCCTGTTGGGAGCTAGTGGGCAAACACTACTTCATCATTCATAAGTATTTGTCTTGATTCCATTTCTACAAGGTGATTGCATGGAAAATGCACTTGTCTGATGCCATGCCTTCAGTAAGCTAATGAGCATTGATTCATCTGCTTGACAGGCTAACTTAATGACTAAAATTAATTACATGCACGATACATTTCTGTATATTAAAGATTGTAGAAAAGTTCCTGATGTCCTAAAGACCAATATAACCACTTTCTGAAAGACCCTGCACTCACAGCAGAGAGCTGAAAAACACAGGAAAGTTATGGTCTTCTCAACATGGATGTTAAACTTGAAGGAATTTACACAGTCAAGCAAAGACTTTTGTTTAAACTCACAAATACACAGACTGCTCCAGGAGCATAACGCACACGTACCCCCAGGGCTATGTTTTGGGAAGGCTCCCAGGCTATAAAAATAGCAGAAGCTGGCTAGCACTGTGGTAAAGGTTTTTAAAGCTGGTGAAATGAACTAATACCACAGGTCCCATTTAAGATTCAGCGTGTGCTGAAATCCATGCAGCCTCTCGGTCCCACATTGCGCAATGTCCTTTCATAATAACCCATATTTCCACAAGCCCCACACGGCATATGACACAACACACAGGCATGCACAGCCTCCCACCAGGCAAACTCATCTCCTTGAGCAGACAAAAAGGCCTTCTGTTAAACCTACAAACTGCTAATACGGTTCCTCTGCCTCAGAAATGGTCTGTGAAAGGTGGTTCTTGAGAGGATGAATATGTATTCCATGCACAGCCAGGAAAAGCTTCATGGCATTCTAGTGGCATTCAGCATCTGGGCGAGTTGCTTACAGACACTCCTAAATAAGGGAGTATCTTATTGTTTGTGGGAAGGAAGCACAGAATTACTTAGCTGGAACAAAAGAAAGTGTTCTACCTGTATTCAGAGCAACAGGCAAAGTATTTGCAAACAAACCCCTGATCCAGCTCAAGCTCAATTATTTGCACTACAAAATGAATATATTTCATTACAGATTTGCAAAGGTTAAGGGTTTAAGTGAGGACGATTTGAGGTTTTGTGCTTCATGACATTTTCACTGATCAGTTTTCCACAAACCACAATTGGTTAGAACTACAGTATGCACAGCATTCCAGAATTAAAATATACATAAGATCTATGATAAACACAGTTTCTCAGGATCTGGGCCTTGGAACAAATGTACACAGTGCATTTTAAAAATAGGTCCTCAAGAAAATAGATTTTTTATTTTGAAAAATTTCAAACAACAACTAAAAAGAACAAAAAAACCCAGTCCCGTATTCTGCAAACAGGTTGAATGCAGTAAAAAAAAATTGTTTACTTCAAATTATGTGAGGAATAAGAGTGGTTTGGTGTTAAATTTTCTACCGTGCAGTACTTCCTAGGTCAACACTTTAGTTTCACTAAAAAGAACAAAAAGGAACAGTAGTGATAAACACTGCAATGCACACATGAGTGCACTGCTGTGACTGGTAAATGGTATGGCTTGTGGTAGTTCTGAACTGCTGATAGCTTCTCTTTAGTTTAATAAGAAGGAACGTGCTTTTGTTTCAACCAGCTTAACTCAGTATCAATTTTTATAAATCAAATTCACCTGAAAGAGATAGTAGGCAGCATCTGAGCACACAGAGTATTTGAGCTTAAAGGACA